CTGGGGGTAGTTTTTTCCAAAGGGTCGGGGCAGCCACAGAGAAGGCTCTCGTTCGGGGAGCCGCCAGCCAACATTGTCTGGCTGACGGCATCTGAAGGAGGCCCATCCTGTGGGATCTTACCGGCCGTTGGGAGGAGTGTGGCAGTAGGTGGTCTTGCAGGTATGCTGGTCCTAAGCCATGCAGGGCTTTAAAGGTAATAACCAACAGCTTGAATTGCGTCTGCAGACCAATAGGTAGCCAGTGCAGCTCACGGAGGATAGGTGTGACATGGGTGTACCTAGGTACACCCAATATCGCTCGCGCGGCTGCATTCTGGACTAGTTGCAGTCTCCGAACGCTTTTCAAGGGTAGCCCCATGTAGAGCGCTGAATACAGCTTTCTCCATTGACTTTGTTTGTTGGAAGCCAACTGGGAAGATTGCTGAATACCCCTAAATACATGGTGGTTGCCAAACACTCAAATTTGGATCACATGACCATGGAGATCCTGCAACAGTCATAAGTGTGGGGATCAGTTGTAAGTGCAAGACCCAGATCTTTTTCAGCACCGTAATTTTGAATGGCCATAAGTCTAGGGCTATAGTAGCTGTACTTCCTAAGGAAACTCACCCTGAAACTGGGAACCACATCAACTTATTGACTATTTTATTTCATATCTGGCCGATTTTTATTATGGAACTCTTGTTGCTTAAGTACGTGTCATGTGTTCATCAATAAACATAATTCATTAGACTTCTTTTCCCAACAATCCTTGTTAATTGATTGTTACTAATTTAGGCTAATTCTCAAACATAGACTGTTTGTCATAAAGAATTTTGAAAAATAATTCAGTTTTGAACTGGTCTCCCAAACAGGTTAAAATCTGTGCAGAATGAGAATGAAAATACATAAAATTGTCAGAATGGAAGCAACCAATAAGCCTCCATTTTCTTTAAATGGCTTGATTTTTCTTTTCTTTGCCTAGTATGCTATCCAGGACATTTATGTTTGTTTACTTGCTTGGTTTTGGAATGTTCCCTTTTTCCTTTTTTTTCCTCCTAAGGTAGAAGATTTGAAAGCCAAGCAACATCAGGGTGTGTTTTTGGACTTGTTCAGAACACGAAACATTGCAATTATGACTTTTATGTCTCTTCTTTTATGGTAAGGTTCCGACAGCAGGCTCATGAAATGCAGAGGCCCATTAAATGCAGAGACCCGATGATCTGTTTTTTTGTTCGGGGCAAATTAGGCTGTTTGGGACATTCCAATCCTTCATTTATCAAATGAGATTTTATTTTAGATTTTTAATTGATCATTTTATGTCACTGCCCTGCTTGGCGTATTCAGCTGTCCTTAACATGTGAAGTGCCATTAAAATGTGATGTAGGTCAGAAAATTGTGACTGTTTTTATAAAGAATTTTATATAGCTAGAGGACCTTTGTTAGGTTGCTTGCTGATGCGTGTAAGTATGAAGGGATTTTGGAGTTGTGAGCAATGGAGTTCATGCAATCAAGCACTTCAGTAACTAAACTGCATCAGAACACTTTTGCCTACTTCTTTACCATAGCATTTTAACCAGACAAGGCTAATTACTAACAGGATTAGATGTAACCCCAGACTAAACTAAATCACACTATTATTGTTTCCAGCCCTAAAGATCTGATAGAAAAATAATAATAATAAACAATTTAACCAAACAATGAAAAGTCAAGGAAAAAGGAAACAATTTACATTTAAGCACCAGAGATGTCCTAGTCCAGTGAATTTTTTGCATGATTTTCTTTTTAATAATTTTATATTATTGAAAATACTGAACTTTATCAGCAAAGGTAAAATACAAAAAGAAAGTCTGCCTATTTAAATAGCCATTTGGACATTAGTTTTTAAAGGCTACTATTAATGCAAGCACTTTTGGCACCAGATAATAACGAACATTATTCACTATACTGTAGATTATCAGGAGATTCAGATACAAGCTATTGCATAGGCACCATTTATTGTATTACACTTTCCGCAATCATATACATTTCTTGAACAGAAGGAATCAATATCTAACTCTCGGTTCAATTAAATCTTTAGCATTTCATATACTGTATTAGATAATTGAGAGTCCTAAGAAGCTGCTTGTCTTTCCATATGAGCAATCAGCATTTAAAATTAGATAGTTTCATTGAATGGCTTGCCTCTAACAGGTACATGCCAAAAAACAGCCCTAAAGATATTTTAGGGCAGGAATGTCAATCTCAAGGCCCAGGAGTCTGATCCAACACAAGTGATGTTGAGCTGGCCACACACCTCCTGCCCTTCCCTCCGTGCCCCCCCCCCCCCCGTTTAGCAACAATGTAGCTCCTTTGAGAGCTCTTTTCCTCCCTCCTCAACCCCCCCCGCAGGAGGTCAAATACAATCCTGTGGGCAACCCTCCCAAGCTCCGTTTTTGCTGGCAGAGGGTTGCAGTGAAAAACAGACATCACCATGCCCACCTGAGGTCAAACAAAACCCTGATTTTGAGGGTTTTGAAATTGAGTTTGACACTCCTGCTTTAGGGCAAACAGTCAGCTTTTCCCTTTTGTGATTAGAAGGACTAGGTTGTAATTCATCCAGGGATTTTATGAATTTAGCCCTGTTTGTTTAAGATACCTGTTTACATAAATTATTGAAGAACAGAAATGCAGCATCGAAACATAAATGATCAGAAGGTTGTATGTGTAATTTCCCAATGCATATTTTACTCCATTCCAATCCAAAAAAGGGCCATCTGAAATAGTAAAATAGGAAATAAGCCTGTTCTGCTATTGGGCTGATTGTGCCAGATTATGGTTACCGGTATTTATATTTGCTAATTTCTCTTTTATCTCAGGATGTTTACATCTATTGGCTATTTTGGCTTGTCACTCAGCACCCCCAATCTGCATGGAGATGCCTACTTCAATTGTTTTCTGTCAGCAGTCATAGAGGTCCCAGCCTATGTGATTGCTTGGCTCCTCCTACGGGTCTTCCCTCGACGTTATACAATATCTGGCACCCTTTTCTTGGGAGGAGGAGTTATTTTGTTCATACAGTTGGTACCGCCAGGTAAGATCATTCGTTTCGTTTCATTTGTGCTGTAGTAATTGACAATACTATATGAGGAGATGGAACAAGTGTTAAACAATTATTTTTTACACCTATATCTTATGAATTCTCAATTTTCTATTCCAGGAAAATTCATTAATATTATGTGTAGATAGAGATCTGCATTCACAGAACATTGCAGGACTGTTTTATCAGTTTATTTTTGTGACCTATCTGTACCACACATCTAACAAAATACACCCGTGCAAAAATTTTTTGAGAAAATGTCCAAATGGTAGGGCGAATTTGGTGGAAAGCCAAACATAGTTGCTCAACTTTTGCATGCTGTGATCTTTTTACTGACCTTCGTTGGATTTAAGGCTGGGCAAAAGAATAAATATATAATTGACTTTTAATGATTACATTTGAATCTCTAAAAGATTCTTAAACTTTGCAATTCTGCAGCTGCCCACTAAAGGGCAGTACAATCCAGTTCTGGTATCAATAGCATGATTTTAGTATGTATGTATGTGTATATATAAAACTTTTTATTTTATCAATGTATTAAATACAATGAGAAATAAAAATAGGAAATTAAGGGTAGGAAAAAAGAAAGAAGGAAAGAAAATATGAGGTATAAGGGAAGAAAGAAAAAGGCATTGAATTTTGACTCTTTTCAGCACAGTACAAAATAACATTACAAACATTACTACATGGTAACAATAATATTCTAACATACCCATTTTCCCTGTGAAAGAGCCCTTTAATGCTCCAACACTGGAAGTTTTTAAGAAGATGTTGGCTAATCATTTGTCTGAAGTGGTGTAGGGTTTCTTGCCTAAACGGGGTTGGACTAGAAGACCTCCAAGGTATCTTCCAACTCTATTATTCTATTCTATTCTAATTACCCATGACTCTCCAAGTGACTTCAACTCACATTTGAGATGCCTCAGTAATATTCTTGCAGTACCTTCAATTACTCTGCAGCTGCCATACAAGCAGTCCCTACTTATAACTATTTGTTTAACCACTATTCATAGTCACAATGGCACTGTAAAAATTGACTTAAGAACAGCCTTCACATGTGCCTCTGTGAGTTTTTATTTTTTTAATAATTGCATTTTTGTAAGGGCATTAAGTGTTAAGCCGCCCAGAGTCCCTAGGGAGTGGGCGGCATACAAATTTTATTAAATTGGAAATTAAATTGGAAATTGGAAGTGATTTGCTTCTAACCAGTGGGCATAAATTTCTTTACAGAAAGGAAATTACCACAACTACCCTTCAAGTTCTTGTTTCTTTCCCAAGTTCCAGAGTTATTGAGACATAATTCAGATTGCCACCAGAATGCCTGTTTTTTCTGATCCTTCTTTAATTCTTGCTTCATGCTCAGCTCCAATAGTATTTTCAGATACAATGTTGAATTTTATTTATTTATTTATTTGCATTGCCATTACCTGAGATCCCAATGGCCATGACTTTCTTGGCCTTCCAGAAGGCTGTGAAAACCTGACTTTTCCTCCAGGTGTTGGGCCAGGAGAATAGATAAACCCAAAATAGATATGATTGTGTAATTCAGGTTATTCTATGGTTTCTTGGTTTCTTAAATATGTAATTATTTTACCTTGTTTGCTTTTAACTACCCAGAGGGTTTTTTAATGTTAGAACAGGGATGTCAAACTCCATTTCATTGAGGTCCCCATCAGGGTTGTGTTCGGCCTTGGGGGCCAGGTGGGTGTGGCCAGCTCAACATTACTCATATTGGGGGCATCCTTCCCAGGCTCCATTTTCGGCTGTTATGGTCTCCTGCAGTGGTCTGCCAGTGAAAACGGGCGGCCCTCCTGAGCTCCCTTTTCACTGGCAGAGGCATTGTGGGCCAGTCCCTCACTGTTTCCAGATCTAAGCACCCTGTGGGCTGGATCTGTCCTGTGAGCCTTGAGTTTGATACCCGTGTGCTAGAGCAACTATGCACATTTTCTAAGTACCGTATTTTTCGGAGTATAAGATGCACCTTTTTCCCTCAAAAAAGAGGCTGGAAATCTGGGTGCGTCTTATACACTGAATACAGCATATTTTTGCCTCCCAAAACCCCTCCCCCTTCATCAAAATGGCTGTGCATAGCTTTTAGGAGGTTTTCAGAGAGCTCCTTGGGGGCTGGGGAGGGCAGAAATGAGAGAAAAACTGGTGGTTTTTTGCTCATTTTTGCCCCACCTCCACCCCTCAGGAGCACTCTACAAGACTCCTAAAGACTATTCGTGCCCTTTTGGGGGGGGGACGGGCCCGTTTTCATGAAAACCCGGCCATTTTTGGGAGGTTTGCAGAATGCAAAAACTTTTTTTTATTTATTTGCCTCTTCAAAACCTTGGTGTGTTTTATACTCCAAAAAATGTGGTAAATAAATAAAAATAAATTTTACAGCATCATTGTAGATACCAACTTTCATGTGGCCTGAGCCTTGACAGTATCTCTAGCCAAATGTCTTCTCCTTCATATCTATCTGACTATACTTTTACTTTTTACTTTACTTTTGCCTTTATTTGTATGCCACCCTTTTCCTTAAGGGGACTCAGGGCGACTCACAATTCAAAAGGGAGGGGGGAAACAACAAACAGTAAACAATACAGCATATTAAAAGAGAAAAAACGCAACAATCACACCATTCGAGTGGGGCTATAATCTTANCCCGCTTCTCTGTTCTTGGTCATTGTACTTCTGGCTTTTAATTGAATTTTCTTCTTAAGAATTTAGCTCACTTCTAAAGTTGGTTTACATGGTTGCAGTATGGAGCAAAAACAAATATTACAAACTTTTAATGGTGGGATGAAGGGGAGACCTAGAAGGTAGGGACCTATTTTTCTTAGCTAGAGCTACCAGCTGTAATTTGCAAAAATTCCATACAACAACTAGATTGATAGCAAAACAATACAGAACTTTCCCTCCTGCCCCTATTGTTTGCTTCTGTCTAGCAATTTTTTGGATTGTTCCAGCCCAGCAATTATCTACTAACCCTAATATACTTTAATTCTACAAGTTACTTAGTCTGTAAAGATCCTAACCAGTAAATATTCTCTTTTTCCTAGTATAGTTATAGATACTGGTTTATAGATCAAGGAGATTATAATTTAGTGAAATCCATTGTAATATATTGTTCCTTTCTGTGAGTAAAAAGCTGCATACAAAGGACATATGTATCGCTACAAACAACCCTATGGTTCATGAATATTAAAATATTTAGATGAAATAGGAGTTTAGGGTTTGTAGGCTCTTCTGTTTTGGTCAATTAATGAATCAAAGGTTGCTTTCCTTGAAAATTCAAATAAGAAAGGTTCAGGTATTTTAAACATAGGTTATAAGAACAGGGCCATACCACAAGCTTCTGTTTCTGGCTGCTATTATTGAACAAGAAAAAATCAGGTTCATAAATATAAAGTTTTAAATTTCTTCCATTCTAGCCTGTTTGAAAGTTGATAGTATTAAATAAATTATATGTAAATTTGGTAGCTAAATAAATATGCCTCATAATATATTGTAGGAACTTAGTGGAACACATCTGGATCCTCATACATACCATAGGATACTGTGTTTTGTACTGATTATTTCAATAGGTTGTCTTAGGACTTGGGTAGTTATTTTATTAAATTGCGGGGACACAATTTAGACATAAACATTGGCATATATATTAATTTTTTTTAAAAAAAAGATATTCCCATGGGTTTAAATCCTTGCAGGAAATAGAGCGATTTTAAAAATAGCGAACAAAATCTGTGGCTTGAAATCAGATCAGAAGCGTGGACAGTTAGATTTTCCATGTGCGACAGGGATGGATATGTTCTCTTTTAGAAAGCCTCAGATGATAGATGCATTTATAGCGTTATAATTTGTTGGTATCCCTCTTAACATTCATTAAATCAATTTAATATTTAAATCTGATATTTTACAACACTGTGTTTATGTTATGTTGTAGTGGCAAAACTGAGCTGTTAAGATGGAAGTTGGGAGGTCTTAAACTTGCTTTCCTAGCAAATCCTAGCTCTGCCCACCTGTCTTTTGGGCAGTGCTTCGGTAATTCCTGCAGCTGCCCCGTTGTTTCCTGGGAACATCTTATTTGGCGTTATCTCCTTAATCCTATTTATGGAATAGAGGCCTCCCACAATCTGTGCTGACTTATTGGCAACTAAAAGAGTTTGGGGGAAAAAACTATACTGTAAGCCCTGAATGTGTGGTGTAGTGACTTGAGGTTTCATCAACAATATCACCCAAAAAAGGACCAGTTTTATCAGACTTATACTTTTTTTAAAAAAAGAAATGCTAAAAATGTAACAACTTTAGATTTTAAAATTATACCCAGTTTAGAGATGCCTCAATTATACATGGTTCAGACATGCCTTCCGAATTATTAAGAAGAGAACTGCTGTAAATTAAGATGCAAGCCAGAACACACGATGGCACTGGTTAACAACAAATACTATTGCTGTTCTTATAATGGCTAACAAATGGATTTTAGAGGCAAAACATTACATTTATGGCCAGTCTGAATTATAAATGAATGAAAGTTGACACTGAACACACAACTTCCTATAGTCATCCAACAAAACAAAATTATTTAGAAACCCATTAAACAAATCAAAGAATCATAATTTGTGTACTTCTACAAAAACAGAGCTCTTGAAACTTCTGTTCCTTTTCCTTCATTTTACCTGGGAAATTCCTTTCTCTCTGAAGGCCCACTTTTTATTCAAAGGCTGCTAACTTCTTGCTCACTCCTGTTCCTAGTCCTCCCTTATGCCTTCCTCATTCTCTGTTCCTTTTTGAAGTCATTTTCTTCTGAAAATCCCTCAAAGTTTATACAGGTAGTCCTCATTTAGTGACCATTCAAAGTTACAATGGCACTCAAAAATGTGACTTATGACCATTTTTCACATTTATAGTCATTGCAACATCTCCATGGTCACATGATCAAAATCCAGATGCTTGGCAAGAGGTTCATATTTATGATAGTTGCAATGTCCCAGAAACATAGCTTT